GTGTCCTTACCCACGTGCCGTTTCAGGCGCAGCCCCTGTCTGCCACAGAGCGCGTGTCCTGCCACGCGTTGGCGTGGCCAGAGCCCATCTCAACGCCAGGGTCCGCAGTCACCTTTCCAGTACGTGTTTGTCGTGTAAACGCTTCCAAGTCCTTTCCGGCAAGGTAGGCGTGTGCCTCCTCGTGATTTCCTTCAGCGTGTGTTCAGCCAATAATGTCACTTTGTGACATGGATGGGACCAGATATTTCCCTTTCGTGAAACTTGAATAAAAAAGAATTATGCTTTAAACATTTTTAACTGTCAGTTCGCGTTATCTCTGTCAAACGGTGTGTTCGCATCTCTGAAGTCTTCGCTAGGACTGTGTTTGTGTTGAATATTCAAGCGATTCAGTGCAAACTTTCTGGTTTAGATGGAAAAGGAGGAGATTTCTGTGTTATCTTCATATGAAGTTGTTGAGACAGTGAGTGCTGAATCAGTTTCACTCTGGAAGATGGTGAAAGGGTCTCACTCATGACTTGACTTTTTCTACTGGTAATAACGAAGTATTACGAAAACTGAAGAGTCACAATGTCGGTTCTGAAAGAACCTGATTGTTTAAAAATGTGTAAATCACCTCAACCTGTTTCTGTGTACTTTGTAGTTCTGGAGGAGGTCAGAAATGAACCAACTTATTTGGACGTAGAGACAGCGGCATTTAGAGTTTACTGAGACTTTTCAAAGACCTCTGACAAATAGCTGCTTTCTTTTCATCCACATAAGTTACATGGTGGGGTGGATGTCACAGTGCTGCCAGGGGTTGAGGCGTGGTAGAGAAGGGCTGCAAGAGTAATAACAGTGGGTTTCCATTGCGACCGAAGCTCAGCAGCAAAGAATCTGAAGGTTAGTCACTGTTTATTCACGGTCCAGAAATACTCGTCGGCTGAGATGGACATATCTTTCATATTCTGAAGGAATCCGAGTTTCAAGTGCTTGGCTTCATGGCAGGTTCTAATTATTTCTTGCCAACAGGAGATCCCCCTTCCCAAGCCAGCGCTGTGTATGACTAGCGTCCAAGTTGGCCACCGCAGCGTGGTGGAGGAACATCCCACTGAGCCCTGGGACGGCGTGCCGTGTCTGCGGGGCTCGCTTCTGAGGGGTCGCTGTTGGTGGGAAATGGAATGGCTGAGATTTGTCAGCCACAGTCCTTTTTTTTTAATACTTTCCTTATAACATTAAAACAGAGAGACAGGAGTAAATTAGAGGCTGGGAAATTTGAGGAAACAAAAGAAAAAAAAGGAACCATTTTTTCTTCCCATGGGGAACATCAGATGAAAACCCCAGTAGAGTAAACATCTCAAAACAGCTCAGAGATGCAGTAGGAGAAAGATGCTCGTTGGGTATACGGTGGCCAGGCCAGCAGCTTTCCAGGATGTGTAGGCGCGGAACGGTACGGTACCTGAAGGGAGTAGTGTAACAGCAAAAACATATCACAGAAAAAGAGAAGAACTGCAGAATCCTTGTGGGTTCAAATTCCAAATTCTTAATAATAAAAAAGAAGTACTGACCCCCTGATTAGATGGTGGTCATGATCAGGAGATGTTCAGTGAGGTAAGATAAGGTGCGAGTTTAGGCCAGGTAAGTAACAGTGGGGGATTTCAGCTGCCCACATGGAGACTAAATCAATGCCTTTTCAGAGGGAGATGCAGAAACGCTTTGGAACGCAATAAATGATGCTGCTTTGAACAACTGGTTTTAGAATCCTGGGTTTGGTCCTGAGGGGTGCACCAGGACCAGGAGTTTGAGTGGTGCTAACTCCGGTAGGTGATGTGTAGCAGTAACCATCGCACACCTTGCTTTAACAGCAGGAGAGAGCACACAAGTAAATCCAGTATGTAGGTAAATCCAGTACGTAGGTACTCAGTTTCAAGAAAGGGGACTGTGTAAAAATGAAACTATTGGAAAAAATCCTAAAAGGCTCAGTCCAAAAAGCAGGAAGCCTGTAAGCTGCCTGGAGGCTGTTAAAAATGCTGTATTAGAAGCTCAGGAAATCTGTGTGTCAAAATTCAAAAAGAAAACAAAACCGTACAAAAAGCCTCTTTTCATGGGTCAATAAGAAAGCCAAGGAGGATGTCCCGAGGCAAGGACGGCATTCAAGAAATGGAGAGCTTGCCCAAATGGAAGGAACAAGCAAGCCTGTAAACATGGCTGGTTAAATGTTAACAGGACATTCAGAGATGGGAAAAGAATTTGCAGAGCTCTTCACAAGGGGTGCGGAAGTCCATGGTAATAAGATTTTCACTATCATCAAAAGCAGGAATCTAACCAGGGAATCAATACGGCTTTTTGGTGACAAGATGTACAAGGGAGTGGTCAGGAAGGAAAGGACTGTAGGAAAGAAGCCCGGTGGGTTGTTTGCATCAGTCTTTACTGGTGAAGGTGCATCATGTGACGTGTTCTTTACAGCAGATAAGTTGGAGGAGTCAGATCAGTTCAAAATAACTAAGACAGGAACTTGTGAACAGGTACCACGTCAGTCAGCGAGTCACCGCAGCTGCGTGGCGTGACCCGAGGGTCCTTGACAGGCGGGAGAAATGAGCTGGTAATTACCACGCGGTTCGACGTAGCCCAACGCCAACGGTGCCTCCGGGACAGGGTAACACCGTGCAGCCGTGCGGGCTGAGCGCCCGCGGGCTAGAAGGCGGCTTTGCAGTAGAGGACCTTGGCATCCTGGTGGGAAGTGCCTTTCCTCCTCTGTTCGGAGCTGGTGAGGCCACATCAGCAGTACGTGTCTGGTGTGGGGCTCCACAGCGCGAGAAAGGCGTGGGCATAGTGGAGCAAGCTCAGCAGAGACCACTAAGATGGTTGGTGGCTGTAGTCCATGACATAGGAGGAGAGGCTGGAGAGAGCTGGGTATGTTCAGGATGGAGAAGAGAAAGCAAAGGAGGTTCTTACCGCTGTCTGCAGGTACCTGGTGAGCCAGACACATGGGGACCTGTCGGCCAGCCAAGGTCAACGCACCAGAGGTGCGCAGTGAAAGAGCAAGAAGCCACGGAAACAGACAGAAGTTGCAAGAAGGGACATTCCAACTATATATTAAGAAAAACTTTTTCGCTATGATAATGGTCCAATAATGTTGTCCAAGAGGTTGTCCGGAGAAGAACTGGAATCCTCCTCCTTGGAGACATTCAGAGCTCAGCTAGACAGGTTCCTGAGCAACCAGCTGTGAATTGGCCCTGCTTTGAGCGACGCATGGACTAGAAGCCTCCAGAGGTTCCTTCCCACCTATTTTTTTCTATGAATCTGGACCTCAGGGAAAGCACAGAATGGAAACAAACTACCATAAAGGAATTACGGGATATTTGTCAGTGGAGATTTTAAAACCAAGATAGACCAGTATCTGCTGGGAATACTTGAGAGAGGTTGATGTTAACAGAATTATTTCTTGATGTCCTCTCCAGCCCTACCTCTTGGATGTAATGTGCTTTATTTTTCAACAGGCTCTAACTGCTGCAAATTAAGAGAGTCCCAGCCTAATGCAAAGTTTCTTACTCTTTTCTTTCAAGTAGTTAGCAGTGGTCACTGCTGGAAATTGTACATGGGGCTATGTGGCAATGGATCTGACTCAGTCCATCCGTTTCTGCTTTTTCTCAAATTAGATAAAATGTTAGAACTGCCTTCTGCAGGCTTGTTGCTATAATAAATGTCACTCGCCATATGAATGCAAATACATTCATTAACATTTTTAGGGGAAATGCCTTTGCTTGAAGTCTTACTGGGACAAAATAATTTGAGGCAGATCTCAGAGTTAATTCTTGAAATCCAAGTCTGTTTCTTCTTAAAGAAGAAAAATAAATGGGGAGGGAGGAGAAGACAGGAGAATGCATCGTTTGTCTCTTGATGCATGGGAATCGCTCAGCAGCGCAGAAGAGGCCAATGGCCTGCGACCAGCGCAGCTACGCCCTGCTCGACAGCAGCGTAGTCTGTGTTTGCTCAGACAAGCTCTGACTGG